ACAAGTTTATTATGTATAAACGTATTTATGTATACTATTAATGTTTTTACCTAATTGGACGAATATGCTTATCAATCAATCAACAAAAAAACAGGTTATTTTGAATGGCCAGATTACAATACTGGTATTCAAATAGAATGCCTTTGTTTTTGTTTGGCGAATTACAAGAACGAATACATTAGCACAGACGGCTGCAGATGGCTGAGATATCAGAAAACAAGCCACGATAAACTTCTGAAAAACAATTTTATAATACCGAGGTCAAGACGGTATTGTCTTAACAAAGACCCTGCATTTACACACCAACTACCCACCACGTACGAGTATGTTTGTATGACGTGTTACACCTTTTGTGTTTTGAAAGAACCGTGAATGCATTTATAAAGAAAAGATCCACGGAGACAATGTTTGTGTGATAAAAAGGTGATTATGAACGTTCTTAGAACATGCTATAAGTAAACAGCTATTGCTTAAATGTGCATCTCGAAACATTTACTCACACGCCCGATTGCAACTCAATTCGAGCATTGAAACGTCCACGGTTATAAATTGAACCCCCTTAAAATTATATTAGTAAAGATGTTAATGTCAACTCTCGTCAAACTTTATACGCCCATACGGTAAATAACTTTATTCTATGCATCTGTCACAACAGTCCTTGGCAACAATTGTTCACATATTTGGTAGTCAATCGAATCATGTAATAATTCACGCGTCGATATTAATATATCGATATATTGGCAAGATGTTATTCACATTTAGGAGGGATAGTAACACAAAAAACCCTCCACCCTTCCCTGCCGATCTCTAAAAAAATATCTCTCTCTTTGCGATTGTATAAATGTTTGGCAAATATTTAAGAAAACTAGTCTTCCTCGATGCCTTCCCGAAAGTAGATGTAGGATACAAACACAGCAGCACTCAAGGAGGATGCATGACTGTCTTTGTTTCCATCTGTCTATGGCTGTTGATATTGAGCGAGTTCAGAGAGTATTGGACTCTCCATCAAAAGTATAAATTTGTAGTTGATTCAAGTGTCGGACATCACCTGGACATTAACGTTGATATCACGGTCGCAATGCCTTGTTCTTGTAAGCATTATTTCTACATGAAAAACAGGCTAAAGGAGGTCGAGAGCAAATGGAATGAACAAACATGACCGATTGGCAGACTTGCGCTAATTCGGTTTATTGTATAATTTGCAGCCATATCCATTGACGAACTGGAACTGACAGGAGAACGTACAAATCTTGATGAAGTTATTCAAACAGTACCCGTAAGTGTATATGTAGTGTATGTTTGTTGTTGTTGTTTGTTTGTTTGTGTATGTGTGTGTGCATACATTAGTCCTTACATGTTGTTATCACTTATGCCAACTCAGGCAAAGTTTGAAGTAAGGTCTGCTCGCAAACTCAGGTATCGTGGAGAAGGGGTCATTTTGAGATTGATAAGCATATTCGTCCAATTAGGTAAAAACATTAATAGTATACATAAATACGTTTATACATAATAAACTTGT